GTAGCTCGACTAGTGGATTAAATAACGCTCAAGTGGCGGTCAACGTCCAAAAATCCTATTTTACTTCAAACACTTGATTTTGAACCCTTTTTATCCCAAACACTTTTCCCCATATATATCCTACTTTATGAACGTCCAAAACTATGTTGATCATAATTATTCCATAGGGAAAATTCATTTGAAGATCCAAATCAATTTTATTGATTCAAAATCCAACCACCATATTATTTGATTTATAAATTCTTCCAAATTTAGATTTGTTAATAGAGCTATAAATATTCACATTAAACTATAGATCAAAACACATAAGATTGTTGATTAAAAACCAAACATACCTTCGCCAACTAGCCTTCAGAGTTAATAGAGTTTTGGAAATAGGCATTTGGTGTTCCGGCTTTAAGAAAGAGGTTAGTTCTTGGAGGTCTGTAGGAGATAAACAATACTAGGGATCGGAGCTGATGCGAAGAGCACTAGTTCAAGAGGGTCAAGGTGATTACAAGAAGAAGATCATCAAAAGGACTAAGGGTTAGTTGACTTTGGACCATGCTGTAATTATTATCATGTATAGTAGATTATCAACTAGCCAAGTGCATGAAATTTTTGATTCTTTACAAAGGGTTTTCTCTGTGATCATATTGGTATTATTTACTTTACATAATTTACATATTGTGGTATTCAAACATAGGATAAATTGTCTTATTTGATCTAACCATCAAGAAACAATTAAAAAGTGATTTATTGCTTTAATTGATTATTTCTATACGTTGGGTCTAAATATTCGACTAATTAGAACTTTCAAGTGATATCAGAGCCTTAATTTTGTTCCTTAACCTTATTTTGTCTAGATAAGTCAATCACATTTTGATAGAAGATTTGAGGATGGTAGGGGATATCTATGAGGCGTTTAAAGATTTGTTTGAGGAATGCCTTAAGTTGAAAAAGGTGAATAGCCTTTGCCTTTAAGAAATTGCTTAATCTTGAATTAGAAATGAAAGTTTAGAGGTCAAACTTAAGGAGTTGACTAGTGGATTAGATGAATTAAGAATTGAGAAAGAGTCCTTAGAAGTTAAGGTTAAATCTCTTACACCTGATCTTGAAAAACCGAATGCTCAACTTCAATCCTTCTCTAGTGGATCTAAAAAGATTGATAACATGATATGTTTCAATAAAGCAATTGGTGATAGAAATGGTGTAAGCCTTAATGAAACAAATTCTAATATTGGTTCTTCTTCTAAAAATAAGTTTGTACCTGCATCAAAGTCTAAGGTTCAAAACTTGAAACGTAGAGTTACTCTTAAGTTTATCCCCACGTGTCCCCATTGTGATAAGATAGGACATATAAGATCTAAGTTTCCCAAGCTATTAAATAGGAACGAGACCAAGAATGAAGGTTTTTGAGGATCAAAATCGACTGTACAATATAGATTTCCTCAACCGAAGGTTCAAAAAATATGAAACCTAGGGTTGTTCCTAAATTCACTTCCACATGTCATAATTGTGGTGTTTTAGGTTACATTAGACGTAATTGTCGTAAATCCTGTGATTAGGTACAACAATCAAGATCTAACTAGTCATGTTAGTTTCTTGACTAACCAAGTGAGTCACTTGACTAAATTGATGTCTCAATTGGATTTGGATCAAGAAGAGTGAATTCACAAATCTAAGAGATGTTAATAATTGCAATGTTCCTCATGTTGCTCTTCATGGTAAAATCACTTCTGTGCCTCATTGATTAGGCACTCATGTGCATGCATCTGCATTGTCTTGATATTTATATATTCATGCACGCACATTCATTAATTATACATTAGGAGTACTAGTAAAATTACTAGACATGTTATTTTGTGAACAAGTGTTAGTAAAATTCATGATTCGTGAATTGAATTTTCATTAATTTTATTTAGAACTTGTTTGGAGTACTTGGTATATATTATTATGTATATATTCTACATTGTACACAACAGACTTTTGTGAATGGGTTTTGACTATATGTTTGAGATTTGGGATGACGATCATTTGTGTGGTGAATTGACTTTGAATATGAAATGAACTTGAACTAGATTGACCTAAACTCTTGTACATTTCCCACAAAAGAAAATGATCTTAGTGATTCAAAATTTGAAATATATGAAAAGGTGAATACATCTTATACTCTACTTAAAAGCCTATTTGACTCAAGTAATTAAGCATGAGTGTTTTTTCAAAACCTGATACCCTATGATCATTTGACTTGGAGTCATCAGCCTAAAGCTTGTTACATGGATTATTTTAGTCGCTTAATGGAGAAGAGATTGCACATAAGATAGAAATAAAAGTTGAGAAATAAAGATATATATGTATATATGTGCTGATTAACAGGGGAGAAAGAAAATTTATCTATATTAAAAAATCAATATAAGCTTTTTATTTAAAAGTTTCTAATTGCATTGGGTTTGACTTCATACTTTGAAGAATATATTCATTCTTCGGTGATTCTTTGCATTTCACCTCTCATTGATTTAAGGTTTGGGAAATGCTTACATGAGTTTAGTGGCACTTTTCACACATGTATAGCTTATACAATTTACTTTATTTAGGATTAAGATATGTTATGAGGGATAAGTTTATTATTCATGAATTATACTTGTATAAGTAAGCAAATAACCGTTCATGATGATATAATTAAAAATCTAAGAAAAAATAAAAACAGCTTGTATAAAAATATTCAAAATGGAAAACTTTTATTCTCCTATCACATGTCTTGCATAATTTTTGCATAATTATACATGTGCATTTTTTTACTCATTCCTCTCTATATTTTTTATAATTATTTCTAGTTTTTTCTTTGTTATTCATGATAAAAGGGGAAGAGATTAGTATGTATTTCAGGGAGTTAAGTGTAAACGAGTTAGGGGGAGTATTTTAAAAATTTTAATATTTTGATTGATATTTGACTTAGGGGGAGTTTGTGTTGGAATTTTATTATTGATGTTGTGTTATGTTTTTATCAATATTGATATTAAAATTCTAGAGTTATTTCCAAGTTTGTAATTCATATGATATTGCATGATTAGGTGTTACACATGTAAGTTGTTTTATACAACTTAGTTATATGGTTTTGTTAATTATTAGTTTCCTCATGCTTTTCATGTGGTATTGTGGTTTTCATGTGTTGTAGGAAAGAGGGTGAAGAAAAGTTTGGAAGTATTTATTGGGTAGATTATATTGGACTTTTGACTTTGAAATAAATGATTTTGACATGGAATGCCAAAGGGAGAGATTGTCACGTTTAAAATTGTAATTGGGAATTTTCGAAGTCAAAATCATATTTTAGCTGAATTGTATTAGGAATTAATCGAGTTGTAATTAAAATTAAAAGAGTTGTGACTAGTAGTATAGGTCTTCAAGGAGTCGAAGATATCTGAGATGTCTAAGAAGATCATATATTATCAATGAAATGTAATTAGAAATCTAAATAATGTCAAAAAGCCTCACAAGTCATGTTCCAAATTTTTAGTCACAACTTGCAACACATTTTTCATATAGAGAACATTCATATTCTGAGAATTCTCTTTAGAAAACTTGTAGTCCTTCGAGTTATCTTTCTAAAACACTTTAAATCACTACAATCTGATAATTGGAGAGAAAGTTATAACCAAAATACTGACAACTGCTAAGCTATCGCTCTCTTAGCACTAGCCTAGCGCTCCAGTTGCAGTCGACGTCTAACAATCCTGTTTTGCTTCAAACACTTGATTTTGAACTCCTTGTGTGTGTGTGTGTGTATATATATATATATATATATATATATATATATATATATATATATATATATATATATATATATATATATATATATATATATATATATATATATATATATATATATATATATATATATATATATATATATATATATATATATATATATATATATATATATATATATATATATATATATATATATATATATATATATATATATATATATATATATATATATATATATATATATATATATATATATATATATATATATATATATATATATATATATATATATATATATATATATATATATATATATATATATATATATATATATATATATATATATATATATATATATATATATATATATATATATATATATATATCCTACTCTACAAATGCCCAAAAGTGTGTTGAATTATAACTTTGAAGATCCAAATCACTTTCATCGATTTCAAGATTCAACCACTATATTATTTGATTCACTGATTCATCCTAACTTAGATTTGTTGATCGAGCTATAAACTTTCCCATTAAACCATAAATCAAAAACACAAGATCGTTGATCAAACATTAAACTTACTTTCTCCAATTAGCCTTCAGAGTTGTTGAAGTTTTGGGACGAGATGTTTGGTGTTCTAGAGCTAAAGAACGAGGATCGTTCTTGGAGATCCATAAGAGATAAACGATACTAGGGGTCAGGAGCTGGTGTGAGGAACACGTAGTCTAGAAGGGCCAAGATGAAGGTTAAAGGGGACTAAAGGCTAGTCAGGCCTGGGCCATACTGTAAATCTCATCATTTATAGTGGATTGCTGATCGGCAAAGTACCTAGAGCTTTTGATATTTTGCGAAGGTTTTCTCTGCTATCATATTGGTGTTCTTTACTTTACACAATTTATAAACTGTGGTATCAAAACATATGATAAATTGACATGTTTGATCTAATCATCAAGAAACAATTAAAAAGTGACTTGTTGTGTTTAATTGATTATTTCCCCACATTGAGTCTAAATATTTGGTTAATTAGAACTTTCAGTTTTCGTATGGCTTTTAAAGCTAAAAGTTTCAGCATCATTCTAGTATCATAGCCTTTCACAAAACCAAAAGAAGTAATGAAAACTCCACATAAACGGATGAATGGACCTCTGGAGGCGTAAAAAAAAATAAAATAATAATAAATAAAAAAAAATAAATAAAGGCCTACGGAGCAAGATGCAATATTAGGACAATACAAATGAAAACAACAAAAGAGCATGAAGACATGTATCAATTGATTTCCACAATCTCAAAACAAAGGTGACATAATCTTTATATCAGGACTAGAACCTTCAAGTGTTCTAGCATAAATACAAGTAAACCAACAAAGCATTGTTTCATACAAAGATGTAAATTGATATTCTCACACGTTCGTTGTTGCATCTATTGGTATCACCCATTGGAACTCCTAAAAGTTTGAATAATAACGTCTGAAGTCTAGTAACAGCTTATTTCTTAGCAAGCATATCATAGAAGACCTCTGGTGTTTTGTATTCTGAGGTGCACAGTGCCTGAAAATCAGATCAAAATCAAAGCTTAAGCAATTTGAGAAGGATAAACATTTTTTATTTAAATTGAGTCTTTAACATGTCCTGCGACGTGGCAAGCCAGATTCATTTTTCATGAAATGGCCGAATACGTATTGGTAAAACTTAAATGCACAACCTTTTTTGTGCTTTAGTTTGAAAAAGAATGGTTTAAACTCTTACTTGCATAGCTGAAGCAACATGAATCAATAACGACTCAGACCAAGGTTTCCCAATAAACTGAAGACCGATAGGCAAGCCAGATTTGTCATATCCAACCTATCAGTAAAGAGTTTTGATCACCATATGTTTATTAAAGGAAGGTTATAAATTAATGTTAGAATACACAAGAAGTCGAAAGACAATTTATGAGAACAGACCGGGACAGTCACAGCAGGCAATCCCAAGAAGTTTCCTGCTATCTGGTACCGTACTAGGGCAGCTGCAATATTGTGAAAATAATCAACTTCCTCTATTCAGTGCCTTAAAGTCTTCACCAGTAGAGTTTATAAACCGTGAGTGATGCAGGAAAGTGTAAGAAAGGTAACAACCACAAGAAATTATCGAAGTGCTGTTTCACAGTATATTTACCTCCATTTATGTAGTCGAGTTCACCAGTTTTCAGTGCATCTTCCTTAATTGTGTATGCGGTGACTCTGTTATAAACATTGCACAAAGTCGTCATTAAGATATTAAGAAATAAAGTCAAGAAAATTGTAATTAGCCTGCCAAATAAAATTTTTCCCATATTCCCCAGAAATTGAGTAAGGAATCTCAATTTATTAGAAGAAGTAAAGAAAATCTTTACAGAAATAAACTAAATACAAGCAGAGAGTTGCAGAATACCCTGTTGTTGGAGTAACGATAACATCTGCTTTAGAAAATATCTTGTTGTGGAATTGAAGCTGTCGGTTCCTATATATGTTTAATGGTAAATAGAAATGGAAACTGAAGAGTATACAAGTCTAAATGTCATGATAATCAGCTTATAATTTACCTGATTCTCTGTGCGTTTAAGTACTCCTTGCTGTGAAAAGCCCCGTACACAGAAAGTCCAACCCGCACATCCCACCCCATTTCTGCCAGGATCCTGTTCCATTTAGTGCTTTTTAAGTGTCAATATCCTGCTTCATTTAATTTCTTATATCTCTGAAAAGAAAAACGTAACATTGAGATACTTTGGAAGAAACAGCATACTTCTCTTGGTGGGCAGCAATTGCATTACTACATTCTGATCCAATTGTTAGATAATGTGCCAAGCGCATGACCTCTATCTCTGGTATGGTCACTTCCACAGTCTTAAACATGAAAAAGCTTTTAAATGAGACTGGATTATCTCTATCAAAGCATTCTTGCACACACGTTGAAAGTTGTATACGACAATAGAAGATAAGCTCAATCTATATTAAATACAAGTGCAGCAAGTTCGAGTTTGAGATAACATCTGAAGTTCGAGTTTCATTGTACCTTCCAACCATACTTATCGGATAGTTTATCGATAGCATGAGAGCAGCATTCTCTAATGTCATCAGTGCAGTCATCGAACCACTAGTCGAGCAAAGAAGATACGTAAAAATTAACATACATCTAAGCAAGTAATACAATAGCATTTATGTTTAAATAACGAAGGCCAAGGAAATTTTAGGTTTACATACCTTTGCAGATCTTGCCATTCTGATGTTAAAAGACATATAGTTTGCTGATTTCAGCAGCGGAAGACATACTTGAGGCTGGTTTTTTCTCGCGACAATGCAGGTCAGTAGGTTTTGAGATACACATTGAAAATTAAAAAGAAACTGAATTGATGTTTTGAGATTTTCTAAAATAATATCCAAATCCTTCCTATGATGCCGTAAATAAGGTTAACGACCCTTCAATAAATGAGTAATTACGATATTGATAATGACACTTCTCTTTGAAAAAGCATTATTGGCATTGTGTAGTCATAAAGAGCCAAGAGGAAAATGTAATTACTACAAATATAAAATGGAAAATTGAAACAGTTTCAAGCATTTTTCCCAGAAAATTACATGCAATACGACTCAAACTGAGGACCTTTGCGTCTTTTGATATCATGTGCAATTACCTCATCTAAAAACTTATTCAGTTAGATACATCGTGTTTATTAATTCAACTTTAGTCTCAACAAATGAATATTAATAAATTTCCCAACATAAATGTCCAATTTAGTGCAAAACACATGCTTAAACAATATAATGTAATTTATACCATTGTCATGCTGGATGGGTTTGATGATAGGTTGCCACTGAGAGCTGCATATCTGCAAATTTATACTGGTATTAAACTTACAGTAGCTTATAGCAGTTGCTATTAAGATCTCCTATGGCATGTTTGGTAGGGAGAATTGGACAGCACTCACAATATTAAAGAAGAAAAATAAGATAAATTCTTGTCCATTCTAGAGTACTTCCACCAAACATAGCCTAAGAGTCGACATTAACAAGAAAATACAGAAACTGACGCAATGAGTGAATCCTCCACTGTGGCTGCCAGTATTCCAACCATTCCAACTGTAAAGTTCAGGGGAAGAGTTCTAGCAAATTAAACATTGTGTTGTCAATATTTGCAAGCACTGCTTCTTTAAGGAAATGAGGAACTTTTGAAGTTCAATAAAATTCTGATTTAATTTTTTTTTTTTTTAAAAAGCTTATAGCGCACCCATTATGTGGCACACGTCCAAAAGTTGGCTTGAATCCAACAACACCACAAAGGGCTGCAGGCAATCGAACAGATCCTGATAAAGAAAAGAAAATAAATAAAATATTCTAGTTACTTGAAGATAACATGGACCTCAAAATTGACTGATATGCATTAACAGTTCATTTAAATAAAAGTTAAACTTGCTAAAACTCATAATATAAAAGAGATTATTAAGTTTAGCATCAATTAGCATGGTTTGGCATAATTTTCAAGTGGCAAGCACTGGCTAAAACTGCTCAAAAAGTTAACTTGTGTTGTTGAATTGCCTCCTAAATTTGGATTAAATAAAATAGGGCGATAGATGTAATTTACCTCCCCCATCAACGCCAAGTGCAACAGGGCACAATCCGGCAGCTACTACAGCAGCAGATCCACTGGAAGATCCTCCCGTAATTTTTTTTGAATTATATGGATTCCTAGTGGCTCTTCAGTAAACAAAGGAGGAAAAATGAGCATCAATTTCGATCTACACTGGCCAATTTTATGATTAAAAAAGTAACATGCATACTAAACAACCTCATCTAAAAGCTTAAACTATTAAATATGGTACACTCGATAAGAGCACGAATGCATACCCATAGTGAGGATTTATTCCACTAATTCCTGCCCCGAGCTCGTGCATATTTGTTTTTCCCACTATTATGGCACCACATAATCGCAGGCGTTTAACGCAGCATGCATCCTCTGTACAGTGTCGTACTTTGTGCAACCATTTCGTACCTCCTACAAAGAGTCAATTTTTAGTACAGAAGCAACTGTTAATATGTAACAGAATTGGAAGGATCAATATACCGAACCAAATCTCAAAGAAATAAGAAAATAGGCTATCACCTGTTGTTGGGTATGGCATACAATCTATTTCATCTTTAATAGCAATTGGAATTCCATCTAGTACTGATAGTGGTTTTCCTGGAAGAAAGCAGATAAAATGGAGAATCAGAAAATGCTGCTGCATCCAATTCAAATGAGGAAAAAACGAACAGATGTAACAGATTCGATTGAAAGTCATATGCATTCTTTCTGTAGTTACAGGTTCAAGAAGTGGTAGAACTGCTTTTAATCTGTTGTCCAACCAGGTTCTACCCACTCTTTTACCACTTATTTCTATATGTTTATACATACTATTGTTTATAAACGCTTCCCAAACATATATTTAATTTGGACCAACAAATATAGTTCACTTTTGGCCTTCATAGGACGAAAAATTACAAACCTTGTTCATATCGAAGAGTTGATTCTGTAGCCTGCCTTATAATATCTTCGACGCTGAAGTTGATAAAGAAAGACATCTGCAAAGGAGGATTGGAAGACTCACGGACAGCTGCTATAAATCGATCTGCAACCTGCATCGGAATACAATCCTAACTTAGAAAACATAGATTAAGCACTAAAACTATGCTGCATTGACTCTGAACAACAAGATAATCAAATGGAAGTTGGGGAATATTAGATACCATTCGAGGAGTTATTTCTCCTGATGTATAAGCCCTTGAATAATCCAATATTGTCCAACGTCGGAAGCTCGGTTTTGGACTCTCAGACACATCTTCTGCAGATTGAAGACAATCAACAACATGCCGAACCTTTTCTGGTGGGGGCAGATCAGCCTCTACACATTTTACTTCCGTTTCTTCGCTGCCTGTCATTATGGTAAACCGTGATGAAAAACTATCAAATTTTGCTTTACACATTGAAGAATTCATCTATTTGAAGGCATAAACATAAGTAGAAGAAAAATAATCTCAAATAACAGTGTGATTATTGTAAAGAGGACAGAGAATCAAATCAATATTCAAATTAGCTCTTTGAGCAACTGCCTTGTAACTTCACATTATAAGGAAAGTCTTGGTGCAAGTTAAATATAAAAATGCACTGTCTCACCATTATATGGGTGCATAGGTTCGAAGAGAGGTGGCTCTTGTAACTCGGCAAATGAGACAAGCTGCAAAATAAGAAACATTCTTAAGCAACATAGAAAACAAATGCTAGCCGCCCTAGGCATTCACATAAGATCAAATTACCTATTTGTACGAATCTTACACCACAAATATACTGCTAAATTAGAATTTGAGCAAAACATAAGTTTGGAACAAAATATACTGCTTCGTGAAAAGCTTATGATATAAGTGCTTTTATTGATTTGATTCCTGCTTGTAGCATAAGTTTTGCATGAAGCAGTATATTTTGCTCAAATCAATATAATCTTTCTACTTTAACAAGTTAAAATGGCTTTAGAAAGATGCTATGACATAGAAAATATTCTATATTCAATTTAAACAAGAAAATAAATTATTTAATTTACTATTACAAGATAAACTGAAAATTTTAAAAATGCATACCTTGTGGATTAGATTATTTCTCTTCAAAAAGTACAATAATATGCCTCCAAATATTGGCGACTCCAAAAACCAAGTGAAAACTTTAACCAGAAGCCCAGCCATTCGAGGAGCTATTCAGCATACAAGAAATTCTCATTAGCAGAATGATATTCAGAAAACTTAGGGCCTCTTCGGTAGTGACAATGAGAATTGATTTTTTGACCGTTAGCTAAAAAAATAGATTCTACCTATGAGTGAAGAAATAAAAAATGACGGTTGAAATAGTGAAATAACAGTCAAAAAATTGATTTTTTGGGGGTAAAAAATTGATATCAAATGGGGGTTTAATCTTGTTACACTCCAGCATTCAAAATGACAAATAAAAAAAATAAAAAAATTATACTTTTCTAATAAAAAATGAATAATAAAATCATAATGACAAGAAGTTGGCCTTTCACTAACTTGTTAAAAAAAAGAATGTAACCAAACCCGAATTTAATGAGAATAAGACTTCTCGTCATCTGTCTATCACAAATGGGACACCCCAAGATTCAAATTCAAAATCAAAAATAACAAATTATTCTTTGCAACTAATGAGATGATGTTGGCCTTTCACCAACCCTGAAACATTATAGCTTGTTCGAAAAGGAATTCATGGGACCAAACTCTGAATTTATTGAGAACAAGACGTCTCATCATCAATCTCTAACAAAATAATAATAGTCAAAAAACTTAATCTTGTCACACCCCAATAAAAAGTTTTTTTTTTTTTTTTCAACTGAAAAATATTAATTAAATTCTAATGACAAAAGTTGGCCTTTCATCAACTCATAAACTTTATAACTTATTTGTAAAAGGATCCACGTACCAGTCTTCCCCATCGATGATCATGCACGGAATTATGGAAAAGGGTCTAAATTCTATTACATCAGGATATTCCAACGGCAAGAAAGTGAATTCAAATCAAAACGTTAATTTCTCATAAGAAAAAAGAAGAATGTGATCACACAAACCTTTGACATTGGCTTGGAGATAAACTTCATCACTGTCGGGACCAAGATCCACACGATCAGCAGGCTCGTAAATTACACCTTTATCTTTGAGAAAACCCATTTAGACCAAACAAGTACTTTCAGAGAGTCTCAACAAACATTTATATGTATGTATTTATACATATATAAGGAGCGAGATTGCAGAAGAAAACAGCGTTAATTATGAAGCTACAGCTAAGCAGTTATGCACACTAGAATGAGATAAAGACGTAGTAATTATAGAGCAGGGGAGGCGGAGAAGGCGAGGAAGAGAATTTTATTTATAATAACAATTGGAAAAAATTTCAGTAATCTCCTATAAATGAGGCTGTTGGGAAAACAACACCAGAGAGAGAGAGAGAGAGAGAGAGAGAGAGAGAGTCATTTTCAGAACCAACGGATTGACAAGAACAAGAAGAAATGCCGTGAACACGTAGGATTTCCATGTACTCAAGAAGCTTTGTAAGTAAAGTGTGAGTGACCAATGGAAATGGTGGGCGGTTGGGTGGGAGTTTATTAACAACCCTTCCACTCCCTTCCTTCCTATAATCTAACAAAACTTATTTTAGTTTATATATATATATTGAGCCACATTATTTTAAAAAAATACATTCTTAAATAGTGATTTCACATTATTTCAACTAGACATTCTTCAAGAAAATAATATTACATACAAATCAAAAATCTTTCCTTATTTTTTAACCACACATTTCCCATCAATACACTATTCAAGAATGCATTATTACTAAAATAATGTGGCTCAAATACCCCCATATATATATATTTATTTATTTCCTTTTCCAATGTATTTCAGGGATTGCAATAGAAGTGGTATATGTAGAAAAAATTTCAATATCGAGCTATTAATATCTAATGAATAGTCGGTCTAATGAAAATTTATCTTCAATAAGTTCAACGAAATATTTTTTTCTTACGCATATAGTCACTAAATTTTATGATGGTTTCTCTAATTAAAAGGTAACAATGCAACTGAAATTCCTAACATTTAGTGCAAATATCTTCATAGCATTCAATCTGACACAACGGTCCTCAGCATTTTTTTTTTCCCATTAATGTAGAAGAGTACGTCTAACTAAGCAGAACATGTCTCGAATTAGACGTTAAATAGATATTGAATGGCATATTTATTTTTTTCTAAAATGACAACACACATAAAATCATGAAATAATATTCCTCAAAAATATTGGCATGAAAAATATTTACATCTCCAGGAGTAATAACACAATATTCTTCTAGAATATTAGATATATGACCACATAAAATCTTTATAGCAATAAGTTCATAACCGCATAAAATAAGACGTACTTGTTGGGAAAATTTTAATTTGTCATGTGGGCCTACGTATGTAATTAATTATTTATAAGGCTATCTTAAAGTTAAACCTAAGACTAAAGTGATTTAATACATAATTAAATTGTTGGGCTTATGGCATTTAAATAAAGCGTGGTTCGAATTATATGTGTAGAGACCAGATTTCTTTAAAATTATATTTTCATGATGGTTGAAATACTTATGGATACATAAATAGAGGGTTCTGATCCCCACTTCGCATGCAATTTCTCGTTCTTTGTGATATCCCATTAATACAAGAATACAAGAAAAAACAATAATTAAAGAATCAAATAAGGGAAAATTCAAGATTAAAGGTGAAGAAACCAAAGATGAAAAGATTGCAGATCAAGTTTCAAGATTTAAAGTTCAGAATCAAGATTCAGTAACTAAAATCATTCCCAAAGAATCGCATTATTAATTTTCTTGGTGATTTGACATAAAGGATCTTGACAATAAAGAAATTTAGGTTTTCAAGTTCTAAAATTTCTAATTTTTTAAAATTTAAAGTTTCATAAAATTTTAACAAGTGATATCAAAGTCGATTCCATGTCAAATCATTGAGATTAAAGAAAGAATTTTGTGGTTGAAATTCATATATTGAATTTTGGAATATTAATTTTAGCCATAAATTTCGAAATTCAAAATTTTTCAAGAAAGAATTTTAGGATTGAAAGTTATGATTTGAATTTTCCAATTTAGGATATGAATTTTAATCCTAAAATTCAAAATTCAGATTTTTTAGAATTTTTTTTGAAAATTCTAGTTCAAAATGGCAACTGCAGCACCCGATGGATTCCATAAGGCTGGGTGTTACAACGTTGGTTTCCCGTTCAAGCTTTTTTTCTTTCTTTTGACCATGTAATTCATGAGGATATTCACAGGCCCAAAGGAAGGTCAATATTTGGCTGAGTTATTTGCATATTTGTGGGTAATAAATATGTGATAATTGTAAAGTTTTTCATTTGTGATTATTGAGTCGGTCCGAAGATAGGCTTAATGCTTGATCAGATTTATTATCAATATTTGATTACTACACAAAGAGTATCACTTTAAAGTTGATATTTCTATCCAAAGACCAAATATCAATTTGAACTTGGTCTCTTGTGATGAGGTCCACAATTATTTGAAATTATTGATTGTCCAATACGGACTTACATGTGAACATGTTATTTAGATCTAGGTTCTTTCTATTCAGTTAATCCATCTATTTCTATAATATCTACCAACATCAATTCAAATTGTGTGATTGACTTAAAGTTTAAGGGCATGGATCTAGACATTGCGTTAAGAACTAAACAATCCACTATTACAAATAAGATTCAGCTAATAAAATGATACCCGAATAAGTGGGATCGTTCAAACTGCATAAGTCTTATGATCATGAAGCGTAAAATTTCAGCAACATTAAGGGGCATCGTGTTCAATAAGGAAACTACCAATGAATTTCTTAAAGCAAAAAAGGGAAAAGATTGAAAGTAATGCTCTTCTGACAAACTTGGTTTTACTAAAGTATAAGGCTAAGGAAAATATATGGAAGTACATCATGGATGTGTCTCATCTTGCTTCAAAACCAATAACATCAAAGTTTGAGCTGTCTGCTGATTTGCTCGTGCACATGGTTTTGATTTCTCTTCCTGCACAATTCGATTAATTTAAGGTCAGTTACAGCTGTCAGAATGGGAAGTTGACTCCTAATAAGCTCATTTCATATTGTATGCAAGAAGAAAAAAGTCTAAAGTAAGAGAATTCGAAGTATTCACTTATTAAATACCTCTAAGGACAAGTTAAACATTAAGAAAATTGTCCCTGGTTTGGTTCAACAGAAACAGCAAACGTTTAAAAATGATAAATCATCTAATTGTTACTTTTTGTGAAAATATGTGACACATGAAAAGAGATTGTACTAAGTACCATGTTCGGCGTGTAAAGTCAAGTATACTTCTTATTTTGATATGTTCTGAGGTTAATTTAGTATCAATATACACTTTGTGGATAAATTTTGATGTCACTATTCATATAAGCATGTCTATGCGAGGTTACCTAAACAACCTAAAGACAATTGATATCGAAAGATTCATCTTTGTGGTGCAATGACAAATCAGTTAAGGACTTTTAGGTTATTATTAAAGACTGATTATTATTTGGATTTGAAAGAGACATTTGCAGTATTGTCTTTCTGAGCGAAATTTAGTTTATGTTTTTACATTGAACACATTCGGTTATTTTGTTCAATTGAAAATAGTAAGTTTAGTCTTTTTCTTAATTCAAATATTTTGGGTAACAGTGCTTTATCCGTTTATGATAACCTATATCTGCTTAATACGGTTGTCCCTTATAAAGAAACCTTGCATGAATACACGTGGTATTAAACATAAAATAACCAATGAGAATTTTTTTTCGTTATGACACAAGCGAAGAGAATGAAAAATCTTGTGTTAGAATGAATTCTCAGTTCCCTTAATTTTTCAAACTCAAGTTTTTATATTAATTACATTAAGGAAAATAAAAACAAACACAAACATAAGGAAATAGAACTTCGAAAGTCTTAAAATTAACTCATCTGGATATCTCTAGGCCATTTCCTTTGGCTTCTTAGAGTGATCAACAATAATTTATTATGTTCATAGACCAATTTTTCTCACTATGGGTACCTATACATCATCGATGCGAAATCTCGAACACTAACATGTTCAAGGCGTAGGAGGCTGAGAATGAAAATCGACTTAGTAAAAGGATTAAACAAGTCAGATCTTACCATAGTGGTGAATATTAAGACATATATGACGGATCAGGAGAACAACGTACAGGGCCTTTTGATAGTTCCTAGAGGAATGTAGAATCGTCCTACACTATACCAGAATCTCTCTAGGTTGAAGCACTGAAAACTGCAGTTTAAATTCTCAATAAGATTCCAAGTAAAGCAACTGTTAAGGGGTTTCAAATCTTAAAGACCCCACTATTAGGTCATTTTTCGAAATAGGAAATGTCCAATTTTCATGATGATGTAGAGTTTGTGGGAGGGAGGGGGGGGGGGAAGAGATAAGGTTTTAAGGTTAATGATTTTGTCTTTAAAGAATAATATATATATATCTATTCTGTTGCAATTGACAATGATCAGGACCAAGGACAAATTCTTGTTCCAAATCTTATTCAAGAAACAATTTCAGATCAAGACAATATTACAAAATCTCCTTTACATAATCAAGAGATTGTTCCAGACTAACAAACTCAACAATCTCAAAACAAATGCTGCCATTAAGGACATTCACTAGATAAATGAGGAAGGTAATTTCGGATGACTTTATAATTTTTCTCCAAAAATATAAGGATGGCATTGGATAGATAGAAGTATATCCAATCAATCAACTTTCATCAAACCATGCAAAGGAATAATTCTCCAGAGTGGATTGGTGTTATAAATAAAGAGAAAGTCCATAAAAAATAATGACGTTTGGAAACTCATCTCATTGCTTGAAGGTGTGAAGTCCATTGATTGTAAATAGATAATTAAAATCAAAAGGGATTCAAAGGGTGATGTAGAGAGATATAAGGCCCGTCTTTTATAAATAGCTTTACTCAAAAGGAAGGCATTGACTTTAAAGAGACTTTCTCTTCAGTTCCTATGAAAGATTCTTTTAGGACTATTATAGCACTTGTGAAACATTTTGATCTTGAGCTACATCTGATGGTTTACAAATTAAAAAAATTCATCTATGGTTTTAAGCAGATTTCCTGTCAATGGTATGACAAATTTTATCAAATGATTATCTCGTTTGGTTTGGAGATAAATACAGGTCATGATTATGTATACCACAAGTTCAGTGAGAGTAAGCATATTTTTTTGGTATTGTATGTCGATGACATACTATTTGCCTACAATGATGTAGGCTTATTGTACAAAACCAAAAGGCCTACAATGATGTAGGCTTATTGTACAAAACCAAAAGATTTCTATCATAAGATTTTGAAATGAAAAATCTTAGTG